AAAAAAAAAAAAAAAAAAAAAAGTATGCTCCCCAATGACATTTTGACCTTGTGCAACTTCTTTTCACCCTCACAACCGTAGCTGCCATTGTAGTGGAACATTCCAATCCTGCACATGGCCACCAGGGGCGTCTACTCCCTGGCGCCTTTTTTTTTCCCCAAGAATTTATTGGTTCGCCTCCCCACCCTCTTTCTCAGGACTATTTTATGTATGGTCTTTAAGGGACACTTTTTTTTTTTTTTTTTCAGCATTGGGGAATAACCCCAGGGGCCCTTTCCCACTGAGCTACATTCCTGCCTCTCTTTTCCTTTCCATTCTTCCTTCCTTTCTTTCTCCCTGCTTTGTTTTTTAAAGTGTTCCACATGGTCTTACTACGTTGCTTAGGCTGGGCTTTTATTTGCTCTTCTCGGGCATCGGCTTCCAAGGGTGCTGAGAGCATAGGCCTGCACTTCCAGGCAGCTTCTGACTCCCTGGGTTACAAGATAGCTTGTTCCCCTACTTGCGCCAATATGAATTCCGGACAAAGGAGTCATGTAATCTTGTTCCAGTCTGTAACACCCTGTGGCACATTTCTGCATGTCTGAAATTTCTGCTTCCTACATTGCAATTATTCTTAGGTCAAATGAACTTAGTGTCTAAAAAACTTGCATCTCACTATCTCCTAAGCGTCTCTCTGCACTTACACAAAACACAGACTGTGTATACCACCTAGGCAGGGTGCAGGAAAACCGAGATGATCCTCATTGTATCCAATGAGCTATTGTGGTCTACTGATCCAGCTGCACTGCATCACCAGCGCACTTTCTTCTTTAATGTCCGGCGGTGCAGTGTAGCCTCATAGCAGAGCAGAGTTCCTGGAGTCTCTGTAGCCACAGCCGGGGGCATGGAACCTTGTTGCCAACAAAACTGGGAGGCAACGTAAGACCTAGGCCTGCTACACATGTGCTTCTGAAAATTAGATGCCACCAGCTCTAATAACCACATGGCCCCGATTTGCTCTGATACAGCCAGAATGACAGAGAATCGCCAGAGTTTTCAGGGACTGGCAGTGATGGTGTCACATGTGCTTTGTGGCCTCAGAACTGTGTGGTCAAATCGGAAACACAGTGAGTAAACAAGCCCCTGTCAACACACACGCACACGCACACCTACACCGAGGAGATTGCATAGATACTATATGAAATGTGCCATGTTTCCCAGGCGCATACATGTGGGGCGTGAATCACTACACCATTCTTTTTATGGCTGAATAAGACTCCATTGTAGAGATGTTCCACATTTCCTATCCGTTCATCTCTTACCGGGTGTTTGAGATGTCTCCATATTTGGTTATGTCTCAGTTTTTGTGTCTGGTTGGTTTCCAGTTCTCAGCTGTACACTTAGGAGTGGACTGCTGAGGATTATTGAAGCTACTTGTCTAACTTTTGCGAGAACTGTCAACCTGCCTTCCACGCCAGCCGCACCATTTTGCGACTCCCACTGGCAAGGTATGAGGGTTCCGGTTCTCCACACCACTGCCACCACTTGTCATTGTCTAGTTTCTTTCCAAGTTTGTGTTTTATAGTGATCCTAAGGAGTGTGCAGTACTGTTTCATGGTCGTTGTCCTTCTTGTTGTTTGTGGGTTTGTGTGTTTGCAGTACTGGAGGTTCAACCCTGGGCCTTCTCACTCAGCAACATCCCTAGCCTGGCCCCCTTTTCTTCTTTTTCTGTTTTGAGTCAGAGTCCCCCTAAGTCACACAGACAACAGGCTGGCCCTGAACTGAAGGTCCTCCTCCCGCAGCCTTTCAGAGTGCTGGGAAACAGCCCGGTGTCCCCACTCATAGCCATCACCCTGGGTATGATGTGCATTTCCCGGGGGAGAATGATACTGAACACCCTTCCAGGAGCTCTGGGGCATTTGTAAACCTTCTTATCTACATGTCAGACATTTTTTCACTTAAAAATTGGATTATGTGTCTTTTAATTATTGTGCTGTAACAGTCCCTCACATATTCTGGATGTACCATTCTCTTATCAGATTTGAAGGTATTTTCATTCATCCTGCGGGGTGCTGTTCACTTTCATAATCATACCGTTGGAAGCACGAAAGTTTTTCACTTTGGTCAAGAGCTGTTTATCCATTTTTACTTTTTGATGTCTGTGATATTGTATTATGCCCAAGAAGACTACGAAGATTTATGAGGTAAGGGGAAAACCTGTGGTGAGTATTTAAATCTTTTGAAAAAAAATTAGTACCGTGAAAGGCACATTGCCTTTGACCCCTCTCAGTCTACTCCATGTCACTTCCTATACATGTATCCCATTGTTCTTGCCACTCTCTGAAGCGGTTGAGGAAGTCCTCTTCAGTGAATGTCTTTAGTTGTGCTGTTATGGCTACCTCAATGTGCTGAACCTCTTCAAAATGTTTATCGTTCCTGGTCCCTTTGACTTTGCTGCAGAGCCAGAAGTTACAGGTGCCAGATCTGGTGCATAAGGTGGATGAGGATTACACTGTGACGTTTTTGGTTTTTTTTTCTTTTTGGTACCAGGGATCAGATTCAGGACCCTGCACTCGCAAGGCAGGCACGGTGCCGCTGAGGTACATCCCCCGCCCCAACACCGTAACATTTTTGCAGCTTTCTTGTTGGATGGCACTTGGCAACAGCATTCACCACATTTCTGAGCACACCTCGTCAAGGCTTCTCACAAAAGAAGACTTCCAGAACTGCTTCAGAACATGGCAGCAAGGATGGGATAAGTGTGTTTGAAGTGAGCAGGAGTACTCTGAGGGAAATGAACGGCAATGTGTTCTTACTGTAAGAAGTTTTTAAAATTTAAAAAATTGCTATGTATTTGTCCACCCTGTATATATCTATGGTTTGTTTTGAGCATTGCAGTGGTCACATTTAGGCATGTGATGCATTTTGGTTTCAGTATGTGGTGTAAGCAGTGTTCTAACTTGGTTCTTTTGCATGTGGCTATGTACTTGCCCAAGCACCACCTTAGAGAGAGAAGATGCCTTTCCTCATAGAATTGTTATGTCACCCTCATTGAAAAACCAAGCGATTTTAAGCAAAAACTTCACTTCTGGGCTTTCAGTGTTATTCCACTGACACATGTGTTCAACCTTCTGCCAGAACCACCACTATCCTGACCACTGTAGAAGTGTAGTGAGTTGTCAAATCAGAGAGTAGTACTTCCCTTAAAAGAGTGGCTTTTCAAGATTTTTAAAATCTATTTTGGACCTCTGGAATTTCAAGATACATTTTAGGATGACCTCGTCCATTCCCGTCCTAAGTTCCAAGTTTCATTGAATCTGCAGGCATGTGGAGGTCCATTGTGATCTTAACCACATCTAGTCTTCCTATCCATGAGGAGTAGATGTCTCTCCATCTTTTTATCTTTTTATGTTTTATGATTTTAAGAAGGTTTTGCAGTTTTTATCACAGGTTTCCACTTCTCGCTTTTAATTTATTCCAGAGCACTCGTTTTCATTTTTGAAAGTACTGTAAGTGGGATTACTGAATTTATTGTTGGATTGTTCATTGCTAGTGCCTAGAGACACAACTGACTTCTGCATAGCGATCTGTGATCCTGCAACCTTCCTGAAGCCACCTGTTTTATATATATTTTGGGAGGGATTCCTTAAAAATCAATAAATCTTCACACAAATACATTTTACCTCTTCTTTTGCAGTACGGCTGTCTTTTACTCCTTCTTCTTGCCCTATGCCTGGCTAAAGCCTCCATTGTAAGGTGGAAGAGAAAGATAGGAAGGTTCACAGAAAAGGTTATAGCACCCATCACACACAGCATAGACCATACCATTCAAAAGGAGCAACAGAATACCCACTGTTATTCTTCCTTCCTTTCTTTTTCTTTGTTTCTTTGTTTCTTTTTTAAAGGGTCTTGCTATGTAGTTTGGGCTGGCCTCAAACTCGGCAAGATCCTCCTGTCTCAGCCTCCCAAGCCCTGGGATTACAGGCATTGCACAAACACACCTGGCCCATTTTACTAAATGGCTATAAAGAAATAGAAGCCTAACACTGCAACCTCTCCCTTTGTTACCATAGAAACCAATGACAGCCATTATGCAAAGCTCCAGATCTACTAAAATTCAAAGAGAGAACTCTCCCCTTTTCAATCTTTTACTGCAATCACTGCCAGTTAGGAGTGGAGACTCCATACAGTGGGGGCCTGCTGCATCCCAAACTGTCTCTGCGCAGCAGTCAGCACCACGGCCAGCGCCTATGCAGACACACACACACACACACACACACACACACACACACCCGGTCCCACTCCTCTGAGAAGCCAAAGAAGCCAGAGCTGTGTGTGCAAAGCAAAGAGCAGCAGCATCTCACAAGCGAACGTGTTCGATTTTTGCCACTTTGGGCTTCCAGGATATCTGAGAGACTAAAGCAGAATGAAAAGGGTAGAGAAGAGAGTAAGATCATGTGTAGCTTTCCCAGGATGCCACTTAAGTTGTACCAAATATTCAGAGTGCAGACAAACATGAATTCACATGCGAAAATATCCCCAAAGAGGTGAACTGTCAGAAACCATACATTCAGGGCTTAGGGGGTACAAAGTACTCCACGGTGTACAAGAGAATGCAGGAAAAATAACCCTATACATGTTAGAAACATGACTTGGTCCCTGCTGTCCACGGAGCAATTCAGAAGAAATCAGCAATCTTAGAAATAAGCAGATATTTACATCTTCCACTTGCATTTTCAGAATTTTATCTCAGAGAAACACAACGGGGAGGACAAGTGAATATATGAATACATCAGGTGTTTCCCCGACAGCCCCGGCTGTAGTAATAAATGCTCCGGTCAGGGCTGAGGATGTAGCTCCGTGTTGGAGGAGCTGCCTAACAAGCACAAGGCCCTGGGTTCAATCACTACCCCTGTGCCAAAAGAAAGAAAACAAACAAACAAACAAACAAATAAAATCTCTAAAAAACCCAAGAAAGGATAGAAGGAAGGAAGGAAGCAAGGATAAATACTGGGTCCAAATTTATGGTCACCATTTAGGGACTGTTTAAATAGTATACCCTCCTAGCACGAAGAAATATACAACTATTGTTACGTTTGCTGCAGATAGTAAGAATACTGCTGCTATCACCACCACCACCACCATTAATAATAATAATAATGATAATGATAATACTAGCTAATGCCCATGGAGCTCTTTCTATGGAACAGCCCTGGGGGTCCTGGTTTTACCTGCACATCACACTTACACTTGGCACAAGCCACGCAGAAAGCACTCCTACTGGCCCATTGTACAATGTGGAAATGGAGGCAGCGAGAACTTCAGTGACGTCTCCACAGTCTCCCCCTGGCCAGGGAGGTTTTCCACTCCAACCTGTCCCTTCACTGCAGAAGACTGCAAGGTCATCTTGTTCTTCCTGCTAGCAAGTGTCACCTACTTGGAGATGTGCACCTTTGAAAGCCAGCGCAGCGGAGAGTGAGGTGTGCCTTGCCTGTGGGACATGTGTGTGTTCTGGGGCTCTGAATCTGAGTTTTTTGCAGAAGGGTACCAGTGCCTCAGCCTGTGGGACTCAGTACACAGAGAGCAGGGTAAACCCAGAGAGCTGAAGAGGAGGAGAGCCAAGTCGGCAAACTGGATGGAGTTGGAGGGACAGACAACAGACAGACCCACACAGATGGACACAGGCCCATCTGGGAGGCATGCGTGGGCCAGCTATGTCAGAAATGGGGATTCAGTGTGTCAAAGTCAGTGAGTTCCACTTTCCTTGTGAGGTTCAATGGAGCAGAGAATGCAAGCTCTCCAAGGGGCCAGGTATGCCAAAGATGTGTTTGTCTTGGGCACGATTCTGTGGCTTCAGAGATCTGTCTCAGGTGAGAGAACATTGGCAGATGCAAACAAGAATAAGGTGGAGACAAGAGAGGAAGAATGATATGAGAAATATTATGAGAAAGAATAAATTATGAGGATATTTATGAGAATAAATTATGAGAAAGAATAATATGGAGACAGGTATCAGCATGCTGAGGGAGAATGGTCATTGGACTGTCTGAATTCAACAAAGGCAAAATGCAGTTCATAGCCAGAAAGAAGAGGAACAATGTCTGGGACCAGCCACTTCCCCCCTCCCACCAGCTAAGCTGCTGACACAAAGCAAGCAGGATTCTTCCAGCCAGTCTTCTCTGGAGCCCGTCCAGCAGAAAGAGCTGAAACTTACTGGAAGACTTTGAAGCAGCTTGGCAGTGTAGCTGCCAAACCTAAGCAACGGAGCAAGTGTGGGTCATGCCCAGCGGGACTTTCTCTCAAATCTGCCCTCTCCCGGCAAGAGAATGTATAAAATGCTTGTTGTGCCAGCAAGAGCGGGGCAAAAGGCTCGTGCCTGAGTTGGGATACACGGTGGAGTATTAATCCTCATACCTCCCACTGAAGTCAAACTAAGGACTCACAAGGACACCTCCACCCTCTGGCAAAAGAGGAGTGACAGAAATCTGAGTCACCCTCTCCTGCCCGAAACCGCCCTCCCCCCTCCCGCCAAGGAAAAGAATCCGACAGAAGACGCGAAAAGACAGTTTTCTCTCATTTCTGTCACCCTAGAAACGAGGCAACCAAGAACAGCGCCGCCTGAGAGAGGAGCACCCACCGCGGTGAGCCTTCCCACTGTCGGGCTCACTGTCCGCGGACAGCTCCAGTCTGGGCACCAGGAGGGCTGCTGAGGGTGACTGCCCGCACTGGGGACACGACACGGGGCCCAGTGTCCCTGGAGAGCAAGGCAGCCAGTGTCCGCCGGACAAGCTCCAGCGACCGGCAAGGTGGGCAGAAAGAAAGTCCAGGCATATGGAAAGGCTCACCACCATGTACTCGTACTCAGCAAAGAATGGCCAGCCTTTGCGTGTGAAAAACCAAACCAAACCACAACAACCCCTGTCTTGCGTCAAGAAAAGAAACTACTGAACGCCGTAAGGCACAGAACCCGGTGCTCACACGTGGCTGGAAAGAATAAGAAAACAGCTTCCTTCCACAGCCCTTGTCACTCACACCCGAGGAAGGACGCGAACTACCGGCCTCCTGGGGTGGTTGGGGAGGAAGCAAGGTACTAACTAACTACAAAGGCCACAGAAACCGGCTCGTTTCTCTGCTCTCGACTCTCCGAGGAGCCGGGGGATCCATTCCTGCAACGCTAGGCGGAGCCACCCCTTCTACAGGACGGATGTGCCGCTCCACAGTTTCGGAGACCCCGAGACCTAAGCCCGAGCCTCGCGCTCGCCGCAGCCGCAGCCGCGCGTGGGCCCGGACGTCCCGAGGCCGGAAGACCAGCGAGCACGCTCGCCCGACCCCGCGCCACAAGCCCGTGTCTCGGCCTCGCGGCCGCGCCACCCCCAACTGGGCCGCCCGGGCCCGAGAGCTGGAGGCCCGGAGGCTGCGCCGAGCGCGCTCGGTCCTCCAGCCCCGCCTCCCCGAGCCCGCGCCGCGCTCCGTGCTCCCCTCGCAGTAGCCCGCACGAGCGTCTGTCACGTCGCGCGGTGCCAGCAGGAGGAGGGCGAGACGCGGAGCCGGCCCCGAGGACACAGCGGCGCGGGACCGAGCTCCAGCCCAGCCCGGCGCGGGCATCGCACTGCGCTCACGTCGAAGGCGCGCGCCGCCAGCAACACTCAGCGGGCCCGTGGCTCGCCGTGATCGTATAGTGGTTAGTACTCTGCGTTGTGGCCGCAGCAACCTCGGTTCGAATCCGAGTCACGGCACTCCTCATGGCCCGACCTGAAGTTCACCTTTTGTTTCCTCCTTCCCTACTCTGATGTTCGGTGCTCCCCTTGTCTTTGCTGTGCCTGTTGTACCCACAAATTGAGTAATAGGAAAATAAGAACCTAATTTTGAGCACAAGACATCAGAAAATAGATCTACATTTGGTGTTAGTAGAACACTAACTCCAACATAAGCTGTTCTCACATGGGGATAGCTTTCTGTTTGCACTGAGGCAAACGCCTAGCACATGCATTGTGCATTTCAACTTCCAACAGTTTTTCTGGTGTCCACATTTTTCCCCTGGTACCTTGGGGTGCTCTCCCACTGAGCTACACCCCCAAGTTTTGTTTAATTGTGTTTTGAGATAGGGTCTTTAAAAATTGACCTGGTAGGACTGCAACTCTCAATCCTCCTGCCTGGGCCTCCCTTAGAGAAAAATCCCTTAAGGGTTACTGGAGTGGAGAGAGAAGGAGAAGGAGGGAGGAAGGAGGGCGATGGGGGGAGGTCGGAAATGAGTCAACCAGAATCTGCTTGCAGATGAGGGAAGCAGCTGAGAAAAGGCCTGGAACACAGGTGGACAGAAGTAGTAAGACCCTCGCTCTGGTCTGTCACCTGCTGCCTGTGTTCTGTGGGACCATCGTGTCCAAAGAAGGGTGTCACCAGGAAGATTGTAATTAGGATAAGGGAAAATGAGCTACAGGATTTGGGAACTGTTCCCCTAGTTTAGTTTTATGCCTCTTGATTGCTCCTTCCAAGAGATTTGAGTTTGAGGGGCATAAGGTGTGGCTGTGTCAGAGACAAGATGTGATTAAATGTCACCCCAAAACGTGCAAGATTTTTCTCCTCTACCCTTCCCCTCAAATCTAGCATAGTTTTACACTAAATACCAATAACATTTTGAGTTTTTTTAACTCTCTTTTGAGGATAAATGGTTTATT